GCCGTTAATATGTGCAATCAAAAAATGTTCCTTGACGGTTCTGGCCAAACAGCAACAACGCGGGTATTTTGTATGCATTAAGGTTTAGTGGCTGCTGAAGCTATCAGTAAGATGTCATAGGCCGATCCCTCTAATGATCCAATGACCCACGGAGAATTTGATGAGATGGGGAGATCAAGCCAGTGTTGGTTGGGCCCTTAGACTTATTACCCCGTTGGAGGTTGAAGTGACCCCGTCCTCGAAGTTCAGTCAGCCCACAAGATTACCTTGAAAAGCCTGCCCTGTTCTACGTCCTCGCCAATGATATATTGCATTCTTCAAGCACGGAAGCTTTGAGTATTTTCATTCCTATATTTTGAAAAGGCCTCGTAGTCGGCATCCTAAATGGACAAAGCCGTTTATAGTACCAAACCATTTGTCATTGACGAGTTGTATTTTTTGTTAAGGATGACTCTGACATCGATGCTGGCCGAGATGAAAAGAGAATCTCTGGGAATACTCCTGGTCTGCAGCTCGATGCTGGATGCCGAATAAGATATGCCCTCCAAATTTTCTTTGAGAACACGAATATGCCGCAAAAACGAGACCTAAACACCTATTCACATTTTACCTTAGTTCGTGACCAAAAATGTATTATCTCCCCGGCCGATCACATTACCGAACCCGCCTATACTAAAAATGTGATTGGACTTAACCAAGTCAGAACTGCGCGTTGTGTATTGGAGCACTAAAGACAGGCTTCATTTGAACTCGAGTATTTCTCTAGTTCTCACTTCCCCTAAATTCGTAGAAGTGAGCTCCTGCCTACTCTTCAACCATAGCCAACTGGGGAATACCCGTTTTAGTTCTCGACTTCCTTATGCTGATTCTTTGCCATTATGGGTTCTGGGTATCATATTTATCGTTTTTCTGAGGTCTTGTTTACTAAATCATTTTCAGTATGCCTATGTAGTAAAATAATCATGAATAGAAGAAGGCTAGTATTTTGCCTTCGATACTGATCATGTGGACAATTCATCCCAAATTACCCTTCCCTGGGAAGTCACGAGAAAATGGGCGATTCAGTTGAAGATCACTCGTGTACGTCCTACATACAGTATGAGGTGAAATTGGGAGGATTGGGGTTCAAATTAGCCTCCGAATCTCATTTAACTAGTGATAAGTGATTTTAATGGCGAATCGATACTAGCTTAGGTAGTATCGATAGGTTTATCAGGCCTGGTTGAATAGGAAGAAGTATTTTTCCGTAACATTTCACAGGATAGAAATAAATCCTAAAACCACCTATTTCACCGGAATAGTCTAGGCGACTAAATCCATAACACGCGAGTAGGAAGGAAAATATTTCCTGAATCGACTAAAGTACATAATTTCTGATTTCTGGTTTCAACCCAGGCTGGGATGAATGCATAATAAGCTTTCGGCTGCCTTGCC